TCTGGTTAGCAGGCAAGTGTCTTAGCCACTATGCTACCAGAGCTCCCTCAGAAGTACATAGCCAGACATTTTTATCCTAAGGTGTCTCTTGGTGGACTTGAACCTACAACCTTTTGGTGAGCAGCTTAAGGCATTAAATATTTGCACCACCCATCTTCATTTAGGGAAGAGCCAACTGTGGCCATGAATGGAAATCAACTCTATGGGCAACTGGTTTTTCAAGAAAGAAAAAGGTGAGAGGTTTCCAAAGAAATGAGACCAGCCAGGCTTGTAGCTGCATACACCCTTGCTACCCAAGAGCCAGGCTGGCCCCACCCCTGCCCTGTATAAGCAAAGAGAAGAGGTCCAGGTGATCTGCTGGGAAATCTAGAGTTTATCCCATGCTGCACCGGGCTTCACCTCAACAGGCAAAGGTAAAAACAAACTCACCATTTGATCCAGCCGAAAGAGCTGTGGAAAGAAAAGCAAATAGCAGCGTAAGCACACAGTGGCTTTGTTATTAAACTAAGCAGTCAACAAAAAGAAAAAACTTGAAGTGCGATCAATGTACTTTCCAAATACTCAATCTGCCCATCCTCATCCAATATAAACACCAAAAATGCCAAGAACAAATGGATCACTTACTTGTTTTTTTTCTTTCTGAATGAGTTATGGAAATTACCCCACAAAGACAATTTGCTTATATTTTGTATTGCTCTGTGGGAGAAAGATGTGACTGTCTGCTTCCTTAAGAATTACAGCCTTTGAAACCCTATGGGGCAGTTCTAATCTGTCCTATAAGGTCATTATGAGTCAGAATCTTCTGGACATTAATGGGCTGTTGTTGTTGGTATTACCTTTTAACCTGAGCATCAGCAATGCTAAATGCTATGTACTTAACTATCTAATCATCATGTGATGGAAGACTATTAAGTATGAGGTCCCATCATCTGTGAGATTGATGGTAACAGTTCCCTGATGGTGGAACTGAATGCCTGGGCAGACTGTGCTATGCTAAGGTTTATACTAATTTCCATGATACATACAAACAGGTAAAATTAGTGTACTTCTGGAAATACATTCCATCTTAAATGCTTAGAATTTAGCTTTTCAGTACAACCACATACCTGAAAGCTTAGGCTGTGTCTTTTTCTTTTTGCTTGAAACTTTTAAGAACTCATCAATCAGCAAGTCATTAGCACAGGCTCTCTTGTCTGGATCTGGCTCGAAACATTTCAGTATGAATGCCTTGGCCTCTGCTGACATGGACTCAGGAATCTCTGGGTGGACTTTAAACATTCCCACCTGAGGCATAAATATGAGAAGAACACAGTGTCTTCTGAGTGAGCACGCAATCTTATCCTGTGAGCCCCAGGCTCCAAAACCTGGTCCCATACATAGCACAATGAGATTCTCTATCATATGCTACAAACTCATGGACTTTCTCAACACGAGCTAGGATGTTTTCTTCAGGCTATGGATTATCACAGAGTGCTTCTGTAATTTTACCAATGACACAGGCAGAGTGAGTAATTTATGACAAGAGACAGCACAGCACTATGTAGTGTAATTTACTCTTCAAAGCATTAGAACACATTAGCACACTGGCACACAAAAAAGGTATTTTTCTTTAAGACCACTGAGTTGTTCACAATAACTATGTGCCAGGTTTTGTGTGTGCTAGGCTTTTTAAATATATGAATCTTATCAAATCCAACTCAGTGGATTAAATATTATCCCTATAAAAATGTGGAACAGAATTTCAAATTTTCATGGAATCCTGACTTTCTGGAGCCATTAAGGCTGGATAAACCCCCAAAACTATTGCCTTGACACAATCTTTAAACCTTAAACCAAAAATATCACCTAAATTCTTCTTTAAGGCAAATAATAGGTTAGCTTAATTAGTAAAGAATGTTTTCCTTGAGCAACTCTGCTCTTTTACAGAACTGATTTATATGGGATAATATTGACAACACCAGTTCTACAAGCCAGATAGTAAACTTAGGGGGCAGTGAGTTTTTGCTAATAGGGAGGAACAATTTGAAAAGGAAGGGTGAGAAGAGTTGCACAATTTGAAGAATATAATCAATGTCACTGAACTGTACACGCAGACATTGTTGAATTGGTGTATATTTTGCTGTGTATATTTTCAAGAATAATAAAAAATACATATCTTAAAAAAAAATCTTATCCCTGTGACACCAATGAGGAAGCTGACGGTCAGAAGGGGCGGGGTTCCATGGTTATGACAAAGCAGGTTTGGTATTTCAACCTTGGTGTGTTTGGCTTAAAGCCTGTGCTTCTTTCCCTATGACAAGATTTGTGAATATTTTCCCTGTCTCAAACCACCTACATTAATACCTACAGAGACATATAAAAGTACTTTATAATGAGCAGTACTTTTATAACAATTAAACTTTTCTTCTTATTGCTGTCATTTAAAATTTATTTTTGATGATTTTTTTTAATGTATTTAGGGTAGAAAAGATCTTCTAAGGAAAACATTTTTGTAATTATATAGCTTACATACAATTTAGTATATATTAATAGTAATATATAATTATTGAGAAAAATTATATAGCCTTCACCATGAGTCAGACAGTGTTCTAAGGGCTTTGCATGTATTATCTCATACACACCTCACAAAATCCCTGTAAGAGGTGCTATTTTTATACCCATTTTATAGACGAAGAAGCTGAGTCACAAGAAGGTTAAATAACTTGCCCAAAGTCATCCCACAGGTAGATCATGTTGGAACCTGGATGCAAACATTGTAAATCCAAGCTAGTATATGTTATCTAATGTCTCTAAGATGGTATCTCTTTCTACGCAAGGCTTAAATCCATTGCCAGTGAGTCAATTTCTACTCATAGTGACCCTGTAGGACAGAGCAGAACTTCCCCACAGGGTTTCCAAGGCTGTAAATCTTTATGGAAGCAGACTGTCACAACTTACTTCCATGGAGTGGATGGTGGGTTCAAACTGCCAACCTTTCAGTTAGCAGCCAAGCACTTAACTACTGTACCACCAGAGCTCCATGTAAGGCTTTGGCTGGTGAACAGAGACAAAAGCATGATGTATAATAATCACTGCACTGATTAAAAAATTTCAGTGCAATGTCCTAGAGATTGATTAAAAACTTGAAAGACTGGCCAACCAGTTAAAGACATCCATTCATGTCAACAAGAGCAGCTCTTTCAAAGCTCTCACTCTCTTTCAGATTTGGTTAGACTATTCATTTCTGTATCATCTTAAACCTTAAAGTAAGCCAGGCCTTGTACAAGAATAGAAGGTACATAACACATGGACCTCCACAAGAAGCTATATGCAAAAGGAATAAAGCTAAACATACAGTCAGCAGCTGGGAGAAGAATCACACATTATCATTGAAAGGTTTAGGTTTCCATCTTAAGCTTTTCTTTGGCATGGGGGGTCTGGCAGGTGGGGCCTGCAGGGAGGCAGAGGCAGCAAACTGCCGTGTCCAGGTCCCAAGCTGTGGCACGTGGGCTCTCTTGGTCCTAGGTCCACATCAGGTGCACCCTACTGTGGGGAGGTGGGACTGCTTCTCAAAGAGATACCAAGAGTCTAATTAACAGGTTAGAAAAGTACAAATAGGAAAGTAAGGCTGATGCATTTAAATAGTAATCAATCACTTTTAAAATGAACTCTTTCAACTATCATGGTAGAATAGTAAAGGAAAATGTTTATTTTATTTTTTAGTATCAAATGGCTAAAAATGTTCTTGTATCTATCTCCATGGAAGATTTTTACACTGTGTTTTCTAAAGAGCTTAAATCATCTTCCACAAGGATGTTGTTGTTGTGTTTGCCATAGAGTCAGGTCTGACTCATAGCGACCCCTCCTTGGATTTTCGAGGCGGTATCACTATGGAAGTAGATTGCCCTACCTTCCTTCTAAGGAGTGGCTGGTGGGTTTGAACCGACAGCCTTCTGGTTAGTAGTCAAATGCCTTAGGCACTATGCCACCAGTAGTGTGTTGTTTATACTGCATTGTTAGAAGATGGTCAAAGGAAGTTATATTTAATCTTACTTTATAGCTGAGAAAACTAAGGCAAGGAGAGATCATTGTGGGAGACACAGGCACTGGCTGAGGGCATGAACTTTCTTGAAATTTAATGTGATCTCAGATCATGCTCACTTAGGTTCTTTGCCGTTTACCTTAAAAATAATAATAAAACTAGACATAAACATACAGAGTGTCTAGTAGCTATGAAAAAAAGCATTAAGGATGCCTGGTGGCACAAATGGTTAAGCACTCAGCTGCTAACTGAAGGTCAGTGGTTCAAACCCACCCAACAGCTCTACAAGAGAAAGATCTGATGATCCGTTCCTATAAAGAAAGAAAACCCCAATGGGACAGCTCTTATCTGCCATGTGGGTTGCTATGAGTTGGAATTGACCTGAAGGAACCCAACAATAACATGAAAAGCTTTATACAGTGTTTTCAAGACACATATGAAATGAGACCTTGAACATAGCTGCTTGCGGTTCTCCCAGTTCATAAAAGGGCGGTTTTCCTGTGGCCATTTCAATGATGGTGCAGCCCAAAGACCAGATGTCCGCTGCTTTCCCATAGCCTCTTGGCCCTTTATCTATTATTTCTGGTGCCATGTACTGAAGGGTACCTGGAAATAATGCAAACACATTTTCACTTTAAAAAGAGGAAAAAGATGGATTGCTTATGACAGTTGGTCTTTCTCTATGTAAGTAAAACAAGTAAGATTCAGGTCTTAATATCTCGTATCTTAATAGCTCACATTTTGGGGGTGCCTCTTTTCTCTGCTGGAAATAGTGGAAATAGAAGTTCTGTTTTTTTTTTTTTTTTTTTTTTACGTCATGGATTTTACCAATGATATATAAAAAATAGTTTTCCAATATCATTGGGTTGTAAATGGATACTTTCTCATTTTCTAGATAGTAAAGTACAACTGAGGCATCATTTCACTGAGACTTCTTAGAAACGCCTATCAGTCTTTTGAGAACAACATTTTCTGTGTTTGGTTCTTTAAATACATGAAATGGCTATTATGTACACTTCTCATCTTTTTCAGGATAAATCTAGTTCATGCAACCATTTCCTTAAATCTGAATTCCTGAGTTAAATGGTTAGTTCTGTTTTCATTATTTTTTCATCATGAAAGCATGATGATTCTGAAAGCCATCACAAAGAGTACTGTAAATCATTTCTGGGGTACTTTATTCTATGAATCAAACATGCAGGACTCCTGCCTGCGTGCCTGAGGTCCACGGAATAACAAGTTTAATAGATGAGAGACCAGTGAGGTACCATCAGTCCAGACAAATCATATGACACAAAATGAAGAGGAATGGAATTAAAAAGAGGAGATTTTAAAGTTGAATGGAGCCAGAGAGTGGAGTGTGGTTTGAGATGGAAGAGAACCAATGGGAAGCCAAGAGCCCTGGGTTCTAGTTCCGGTCTGGTTCATCCCAGGTACACACTCAGCTGCAAATTACTTCACTGGCTAAACAAGAGGATGAGCTTGCATTTCTAATACTTCCTTGAGAGGTTTCCCAGAGTCCAGCAATGACTCAGGAGCAACCCCACATGTCAGAGTGGAACTGTGTTCCGGAGGGGTGCTTTCAAAGGCTGATTTTAAGAAGTAGATCACTAAGCCTTTCTTCTGAGATGCCTCTGGGTGGACTCAAACCTGCAACCTCTCGGTTACTAGCTGAGCATGTTAACCGTTTGCACTACGCAGGGAACTCCTGATACATTCAAACAAACTATATAATCGGCAAACAAAAACCCATCAAGATGCCATGTTAAATTACTTCAAATTCTGAGGCAGTTGCCTAAAGAGCTACTTTAGTATTTTCTGATTTATAACTACAGTAACAGGCATTTTGATAAAGACAAACACTTTTACATCTACATGAAGTTCTTTTAAACTGCTCCTATGAAACCCACTAATACAAGGGTAAAAGCCAACTATTGTTCACAGTGAAGGTATATGAATAATAAAGGGACATAATTTTTTTCCTTCACACCTCATCATTATATAACAGTAGTTCAAGTTCATGCTCACATACAGCTATGTGTCTGATCTCAGCTGAAATTTGCAAAGCTACTGGAGGAAAGCATTTCACTTTGCCAAGCACAAGGAAGACATGCTCCCCAAAGATTCACCTACTCTTAGGGGAAAACTGCTATGATTTCTCTTCATTTATAGCTTCCTTGCAAGCGATACTCATTTTATGATTAAATATAATGAAATCTTCTTTTAGGAAATATGTGTTGAAGCCTACCATCTACTTTTGTTGTCTCAGGGTCTAAAATAAAGTTGATGAGAGAATTTCAGTTGTACTAATATCTGAGTAGGAATTACAATTGTTCATAAATATAGTGAATTTAAGAAACTGGGCAATGTCTCAACAATATATTATGTATTAATTTTTACTCATCAGATAATATTTCAAAGAGCTTGGTGTGCCAATTGTGTTTAATTATCCTCTATAGAGCAAGTGCCAAAAAAATCAAGTTTAGTCATGTGTTCATATCTGCTTCTCTCTTTACTCCACAAACACATGACACAGTATTTTGTATAAAGAGGTTTGCAGAGCTGGATAATAAAGATGCAAACCAATCTGAACACTGGCCTTAAAAAAAAAAAAAAAAACAAGTGAGAGTAAAACCCCTACCTCATATATACTGCATTCCAAAGTTTTTTTTAAGAAATAGTACTGTGAAATAATGTATTTTAGAATCTCTTTGCCAGTGTAGCTATCCAGGGAGGCAATATTGTGTAGGGTTAAAAGCATAAACATTAACATTATATTTCATTCACTCATTCATTCAACAGATCCATGCCCCTATGGGCCTGGCATTAAGGTACTTAGAATGCAGGAGTGGAATAAACAGACAGAAAACATTATAGATACAAATGTGCAAAAGCTTACATTTTTGTAGGTGGCAGGAGATAAGCTATAAGCATAATAAATAAGTAAATTACATATTATGTTAGAAAGTGGTAAGTATTATGACCCAAAAAAAGAGCAGGGTGAAGGGGATTGGGAGTACCCAGTTCTAGGGAGGGCTGCCTTGTAAACAGGGTGGTCAGGGTAGACCTCACAGAGGAGTTGGGACTTGAAGGGTCGTAAAGAAGACCATCATGCAGATAGCTGGGGAAACAGTGTTACTGGCAAAAGAAAAAGCATGTGCAAAGACTCTGTAGCAGTTACTTCACTGGCCTCTTGTTTGGACCAAAGAGGTAACTGCAGCTGAATATTTACCTGGTATAAAGGAGGAAATACAGGAAGGCCCATGTGCTTGGAGAACGAGCAATGGGGGAGAGTAGGAAACGAGGTCTGAAAGGTAAAGGACTTCAGGTCAAGTTGGAGCCATATCCACCTTTGTAAGGAGTTTAGTGTTTACTCAGAAAGAAACAGCCAGCCAATGAATGCTCTGAATGTTAGGGTTTCCTTGATGTTTTAAAAGCATCACTCTGGCTGCTGTGTTGAAGAATACACAATAGTGGGTCAAAGTGGATGTGGGGAGAAGAGGTAGGAGGCTACTGAGGTAATGCAGGTGAGTGATGAAGGTGGCAGTGGAGGCAATAAGAACTGGCTCCATTTGGGACACATTTTACAGTTACAGCCAATAGTCTTCCTTGATGGATTGGACTGCAGTATGAGACGAGAGAGGCACCATGGATAACTCTTAGTTTTGAGTTGCCATCAACTGAGACCAGGAAGAGTGTGGGTGGAACAGGTTTTGGAAAGAAAACAATTAATTCCATTTGGCATGTTAAATCTAGTTTGAATCCCAGCTCTATCACTAGTTTCTTAACTTCTTTGAACCTTAATTTTCTCATCATAAACTGGGATGGTGATACGTACACTGAGGGATGATGTAGGAATTTCAATGAAATGACATATGTAAAGCATTTAGCAGAGTCAGGTATACAGTAAGCACTCCACAAATGCTGATTACTGTTGCCTTCTCCTTCACTTTAACCATCAAGAGGCGAAACAACTCAGTTCATCAGAGGCCGACTAGGCCCCTGTGACTTAACTAGCTCTGAGTTAGTGCTCTGAGGGCTATCTAGACGGTCTGCACAGCCAGTCACAATCAGTGCTGGAGACAGACATTAGCATGTTAGTCACATATGTCATTCTGAATTGAGGCCGGTGGCAGAAGGACTTATGGGAGGGCAGGTCTTACTCCCCCTCCTTTGGGGATTAAAAGAAAAAAAATGTTTTTAGGAATAAAAGGAGATCACTATCTTGCCCAGAAAGAGTATGCTGAAGGTGAGGATTTTCCTTTCAGAAATTACTGCGTCTTGGCAGCATCCAAAGCCTCTCTTGCCAAGTTGAGAGTATATAATGAAAGAAGTACAGAGATAATTTCATTTTTAATTCTGTGAACTGAAATACCCATTGCCATGGGGATGGGAGCCAGGCCAGAGGTATTGCTGACTGAATGTTCTAAGGAGGAACCTTATGGGATTTCTCTCTCTCCTCCCCCATTCACCCCAGGCTACCATATTAGACACTGGGGTGACGAGAGAAAAATGGACTTGGGACAAAAAGGTCAAAGCATAAAGCTAAGTGTAGATTAAAGACCCAAGTTTCAGCATTTATGAGCCATGACTTCCAGCAGCAGTGTCTCTTTTCTCTCAGTTTCCTCATCTAACAAATGGGGGAACTACCAACTACCTCACAAGGAGCCCTGGTGGTGCAACAGTTAGGTGCTCGACTGCTGAGAGGGTGGCAGTTCGAACTCATCCATGGCTCAGAGGAAGAAAAGACTTGGTGATCTGCTCACATAAAGACTGTAATGTAGGAATCCCTGTGGGGCAGTTCTACTGTCACATGGGCTCACTATCAGCTGGAATCGACTCAGTGGCACACACCACCACCACCGACCTGACAGAATTCATAAATGGGAACACCTGGCCATTTTGCTTTATATAGACCAAAGATTACTCATTGACCATTTTTTTAAAAATTTTTCTCTCTAATCATAATAGGGAGCTCTGGTGGCATAGTGCCTAAGGCATTTGACTGCTAACCAGAAGGCTGGCGGTTCAAACCCACCAGCCACTCCTTGGAAGGAAGACAGGGTGATCTACTTCCATAGTGATACCACCTTGGAAACCCAAAAAGGGGTCACTATTAGTCGGATCCGACTCGATGGCAGTGAGTTTGGTTTTCGGAATCATAATAACAATTTAATACTTAAATAAGAATCAGCATAAAGGAATGATAAGAACATGGTATGAAAATCAAGCTTGAAGTCCTAGATGCCATCCCAGTAACTTTGGGCAGTCTCCTTGTGCAGTCATTAATCTCTCTGAGGCTCAGTTTCCTCTTGGATGCTGTTAACTTTTTAGAAACCTCACTTTTTCTCTACCCTCCTAGGACTTTGCACTAGAGGCAGCTAGCTTGAGTGGTTGTATTGCCTAATTGCTCAGGAAAGCTCTCTCCCCATCCCACTTCTGAGTTGGTGAGTCATTTCCTCTTTCTGAATTGAAATCCCACGGAGTTATTTATATTGTGGAGTAGGGGAATAGGTCACAGGGAATAAACAGGACTAGGAAAGAAGGAACTCACAGTTCAAATGGAAGTGATTAAGGTATGAGTAAGAATCACAGAGAGCTTAGAGTATGGAAATGCTACAAAGAAAAAAAATATTGCCAGGGTTAGTGGTTGCAAAGCCAATCAGAAGGGAACTAATGGTATGAAAGGAAAAACAAATGTAAATTCAGGGTTTCATAAAAAATCGTTAGTGACATTAAGCAAGAGACTAAGCAAATACATAAACACAAGAAGAGAAAATGGGCAGCTTAAATTCCATGAGCATAAAAAGACCATCATTAATGTTTGTGAGCACACAGATTAAATTTATTTCTCATATTATGCCAAAAACTTAGCAACGACTTCTTTAATTTCAAGAGATCTGTATCATCATTGCAAAAACATACCAGTGAAAGTTTCAGTACATGGGTTTATGCCAGCCAATCTCTTTGATGTTCCAAAGTCAGAGATCTTGAGAATACCACTATAGGTATTAATCAACACATTGTCACCCTAGAGAACAGAGGACTTTAATCAAACACGTTATCTTTCTTCCAGTACTGTTACCAGCTTGCAAGTCCAATATGAAAAGTTATCCTTAGAGCAAATAAGGACACTAATTCTGTATTCTTCAAAACTAGCTTTTGTCATAGCCGTTCACAATCTGCTACTCAGGTCACAAGATCGAAAATGGTTCCTTGTTAGTTAGAGCTAGCTGCAATTCATAAATAGTATGGGTTTCAATAACATATATGATAGGCTAAATTATGATATTAATAATTCCCCTGTCATTTTACTTTCTTTTCTACGTTGTTATACTTATTTTCCTGGGATACTTAGGAAATATAGTTAAACACATTACAGATAAATGGACATTTCAGTTGATTTTAGGGTAGTAATATTAACTTCATTTGACTGATAACCAGAAGGTTGGCGGTTCAAACCCACCAGCCACTCCTCAGAAGGAAGACTGTGCAATCTACTTCCATAATGATACCACCTCGGAAACCCAAGGAGGTGTCGCCAAGAGTCAGATCCGACATGATGGCAGTGAGTTTGGTTTTTCAGAATAGTAACTTCAAAGCCATCGCTGTCGGGTAATTTTGACTCCCGTGACCCGATAGGACACAGCAGAACCGCACGACAGGGTGCCCATGGCGATGATCTTTCCAGAAGCAGACTGCCACATCGTTCTCCCACAGAGCAGCTGATAAGGTCAAACTACCAACCTCTCAGTTAGCAGTCGAGTGCTTAACCACTGCACCACCAGAGCTCCTTCCAATATTAACTTACTTTGTCTAAAACATATTAATTTCAAATTTTCTATTTTTAAACAGAATCTCATAAATTACCTAATTTTATTTCAATCCATGCATATATAAGACTTGTGAAAAAAGCTTTTCCTTTTTACTTCCAAGCCCACATCCACTGATTCAGTAAATATTATCTAAGTAGCAACTATCGGCAAGGAAACAAAGATGAAACAGGGTAAACTCCTCAGGAGCAGGGACTCCAACTTGTTCAATTTTGTGCTGCTGCACCCCAACCCCAAGGAGCACCTGCACTAAAAGTGGGAACTCAGTCTTAGCAACTTGAACGTGGCCAAGGAGATAAGACGTGAACACAAAGAAATGATTCAGCATAGAGTAAAATCTTACATTTCTGCTATTCCCAAGGTCTGTCACACAAAACACAATGTAACTTTTGCAAATAAAAATTGAAATGAATCCTAGTGCATCCTACCTTTATATCCCGGTGAACTATCTGATTGTCATGGAGGTATTTTAATCCTTCAAGTATTTGCTTTGTATAAAAACCAATGGTTTGCTCATTGTCTTTTAATGGGCCCCATTTGGAACGAAGGAGAGCAGAAAGACTTCCTGTAAGTAGGGAGAAACGAGTGGATAAAATACTTAAGTAGAAGTAAAATGAGTTCTTAAAGCACACAGTAGCTGCAACAATGGGCCCAAACACAGCAATGACTGTATGGATGGCACAAGCCTGGGCAGTGTTTGTTCTGTTGTACACAAAGTCAATATGACTTGGAACCTACCTGATGGCACCTACCAACAACAACAATAATGTAATATTAATTAAGCCAATATCAATTGATTACTCACAACAGCCCAGGCATCATAATACTAAATACTTGGGGCTCAAACATGAATAAGAAAATTTCCCTGGTCTAAGGCAGCTCATTATCAAATAGAGTAAAAGTAAAAGTCAACTCAATTGCTACCATTAATCCAGGTTGTGATAATCACTATGAAATTAGTTCCAGAATTCACTTATTGTCTCCTAATAAACAGCAAACTAATGCTGTATGTCTAATTTTTCTTTTAACTTCTATAAGTAAGGTCCTGTGATCGAGTAAAACCCAATTATACTGTACTTCAAGGCCTCAGGAATTTACACTTTTGAAAGAAAGAGCTATATCCCTTACCTCCTGGCACTTGTTCCATGAAGATTTTAATGAAACCATTCTCACTAAAAGAACCCAGATACTGGACAATATTTTTGTGTTTCAGATGCTTATGCAATGCTATTTCTTCATGTAGCGGCTGGGAGTATCTAGAAGATAGGGAAATATCGATGAGTTAATTACGTAGACAGACTTTAGATTAGCATATATATTTAAGCAATAGCATTTGGAAACATCAGCTAATCATATGTCAATATGTAAATCCAAATATGACCATTTAAGGATTTTATTTCTCATAAGATAAACTCTATGGCATTGAGGCTACAAGGAAGGTCTCAGGGGCTATGTGTCAGGTACTGTTCTACATATTAATTCATCTGTCACAGCAACTCCATGAGGAAGGTTCTATCAGGATGCTCATTTGACAGACGAGGAAAATGATTCGTAGTAGGGATGACAAAATCTGCCCCAGATCACAGAGCCGCTAAGTGACAGAGCTTATATTTGAATCCCGGAGAATTGAAATCACTACTGTCCCATTAACATTACTTTATATTCCACCATACTCACCAGCATAACTGGGAGACCCTTGCCCAGGAAGAGAAAAATTACAAATTTTAATGTTCTTTCCAGAACGGAAAGATCCATCAACTCTTTAAATAAATAAATAAATAAAATCATTTATAACCCAAGTCTCTTTGAGCCCCCTGCCTCAAAATCCTCACCTTACTGTGCCCACCATTCTAACTCTTACAACAGGATTTTCACCAATTCTAACCAAGCATCCTCATTCAAAAACCAGCTTTAAACCAGACTACACAATCATGTTATATGGTATGTATTGCTGTATCCAATTATAAAATAGAAGGATTTTGTATTTCTGGGACAGACCAAGCTACACTTTTGATAAGTAGTTGAAGTACCGTAAAGCTTGTAGACTCTTAATATTCCTGAATTCAGTACAGCTCTAATCTAAGTACCGTATAAGTAAATACGGTAGGTGTCAGCAAGGAGAGAAACTCAAAGCCATTTTCGAATATTGTTTTTTTCTGTTGTAAAATGGAGTCTACAGCGTGAAAGGCACCAACTACTAAGACATACTAAATAAAACCCTGATGCCTTCCTTTTTAGTCCTACATGTAGGAAATTCTCAGATCCTAAAATGGAAAACTCATATAGGCAGAATGGATTTCTTTGAATGCCAGTAACAAATTCTAGAATTGGTTAGCATTGATTTATAAACTCTTTTCATGAAATCATAGTCTCTTCCTGGTCCTATTAAATTTTATTTTTGTTTTTCAGGGTAAGCTACAAGGTAACACAATTAGTGGGTTACACAACTCCAAATCACTTGCTTTAAACAAACTTTATAATCTGTGAAACTTTACTCAGCAGCCAACGAAAAGATGAGTTATATTTTAGCTCTTTCACTCATTTTATTTTTATTTAGAATTGCTAGGAATCATGAAGGGCAGGTATTACACTGACCCTCTTAGCATTGGTTAGGAACAGCAACACCATTTTGATAATTGTCTGAATGACATACCATGGCAAATGCCAATATACAGCGTCATCAATAAGATATTTAGGTTATGTTTCTCAACGATGAAGACATTTACATTGGGTTTTAGACACTTTATTGATACTAGTTCATGATTACTTTTCACATGTATAATATACAAAAAACCCAAACCCACTACCATCGAGTCATTTCTAACTCAAAGTGAACCTATAGGATGAGTAGAACTGCCCCATTGGGGTTTCAAGGTTGTAAACCTTCACAGAAGCACATGTCTCATCTTTCTCCTGAGAAGTGGCTAGTGGATTCAAAGCACTGACCTTTTGGTTAGCTGCTGAATGGTTTATCCACTATGTCACCAGAGTTCTTTATGTATAAGTTAGCGGCAAATACTATGCTTATTCTAGAGATTTAGATCAAGATGATCAAATAATCTGAAGCAGGTGACTGTTTATTATGAACCAAAAGGTTTCACCTCCTGACCCTCTTGAAAATCAAACTATTAATACTCAAATTTAAGATCCTTGAGAAGCAAATACCCACCATACCACCCACCCCATCCTCATTATTTAAATGAAGGATAGCTTAATTTGCAACATTAGCCAGGATTCAACCTAGCTAAGAATAAGAACTCTTCCCCACTATGGAAATTATTGGGAACACCCAGCAACTTGTACTAAGTGTAAGTGCCAAGCACTAAATAAGCATGAAATTATGATTTGTTCAGGTCAATAAACTATGTTTGCCATCATGTAGGTCCCAATTCAAATGTCACAGAGGCCTTCTCTTCTGACTACCTTAAGCTGAAAAAGACATTCTCTTAGGAAACCAGTGTCCCAGGTCCCAGCTATTTTTCTGCCTCTCCACCGAGCATGACATTCAAAGATCGCCTTCGGCCTTTATCTCTCCAATCCCGACAGTAAGAAGAAAGAGAAAGGAGTGCAACCCAGCAATGTCCACAATACCTTCACCTGCTCCACTGGCCAAAAGTGGCCACCCCTAGCTACAAGGAGGCTAGGAACTCTAGTATTTTAGCTGGACATCTGCTATCATGGATTTATACCAGTCAGCCTCTTTGATGTCTTTGAAGATCTTTAGAACAGCACTGGGGGGGAAGAAAAAAAAAAAAAAAAGAACACCTCGCTGCCATTGAGTCAATTCAACTCAAAGCAACCCCTCCTTGGGTTTCCAAGGTAGTATCTCTACAGAAATAGATTGACTAATCTTCCTTCTGAGGAGTGGCTGGTGGGTTTGAACCTCCAGCCTTCTGATTAGCAGTGAAACGCCAGAGGAACTAAACCACTAGATCTCCTAGAACAGCACTAGAGGTATTAATACATTGTCACCCGAGAGAATAAGAGACCTTTGGTCAAACATGTTAACTGTCTTTCAATACTACTGCTGGCTCACAAGTCCAAAAAGATATCCTTAAAGCAAACAAGTACATGAATCCTACAGTCTTCATTAAAAGTGTATTACAATACTGAATTTTTCTTAACTTTTTATTGTAATAACACTGAACTCTTGACTTAGAAATTAGAGAGCAAATCATCTCTTCTCAATTAGCTATAAGAATGGACAGAATAAATTTCAGGTAACAGAAGAAAGTGTATCTTTAGCTTTGAAAATACTATTAATCCATAGTTATTGCCAGAGTCAAACCCCATCAGAGTCAAATTCCCATTTATAACCATCTGAACCATTGGTTGTCAGCCATGACTGGACATTTGCATCTCTTGGAAACTTAAGGAAAAATACCAATGTTCAGAATATTTGGAAGTATGGCCTGAGTATCAGGATTTTTTTTTTAAATTGTGATTTGAGTGAAATTTTATAGAGCAAATTCACTTTCCATCCAGCAGCTCACATATACTTTGTCTCATGACATTGACTGCAATTTACCACAATGCAATAGCTCCCCTCCCACTTCCTCCCCATAGTTACTTCTTCCCTGTGTCTTTCCCTCCCATGTACTCCTGCCCCCTGAGCTGTCTCCTTGTGCATACACAGCCTTCCTATTCTCCCAAGATTATCTCTCCAAGGAGTCTATCTACCTAATGTAAATGTTCAGCTCATATGCCTGTCTTTTGTTTGGCTGGAAGCCACAGGACTGGGTTCAATTCCAGACCTGAAAGGCAGCTAGGGGCCACAGTCTCAGTGGTTCCAACAGGCTATATCAGACCAGCAAACTGGTCCCTTTTAAAAAAAAAAAAATGATTTTGAGTTTTGTTTCACACTGTTCTCCCAGTCTATCCAGGATCTCCTACTTAGATCCCCCTCCAAGTAGTTTACAGTGGGAGCCAGGTAACATCTAGTTCTTCTGGTCTCATGGTTGTATAGGCTGAGAATCTCACAGTGTACCAGTCACTTGGACTAATTGTTTCCATGCATCTTTGGTTTTTTTCATTCTTCTTTGCTCTGGATGAAGAGAGACCCATCATTGCATCTAGTTGGCCACTTGCAAGCTTTTAAGATCCCAGTCACTATTCGCCAAAGTAGGATGTGGAACAATGTTTTTTTGTGTAGTATGTTATGCCAATTGAACTTGATGTCCCCTGCAACTATGGTCCCGAGCCCACAGGTCCAACTACTTGCTCCCTCTGGGTAGCTGGCTGTGGCCAAGAAGTGACTACAACCTTGTTGTCCCTTGTCAGCTCTACTATATACCTGAGTATCAGGATTTTTTAAAACTCTCCATTGGCCCTCATATACACAGCTGGGTGGAGAATCACTGAATGTGTAGAAGGTTAGAGGATGAAGCTATCCTGAAATTAACAACTAGTTGGGGATAGATTATGAGAGTATACTTAAAATCCACCACTTCTTAAATAAAGTGTCTTTAGGATATGATGGAAACATAGAAGAAATGTTTGTGGTTGCTATGATCCCTCCTTACATTTGGTAATAGTTTAGTATACACTGGATCATGTATTACTCACACCCATCATCCAATGTTAGCAATTACCCATTGTCACTGCTAACTTTTAAATGAAATATCCAAACCACTCCAGGGCACACAGATGGAAATATTTTTGTCTGCTGTGTATTCATAGTAACAATATGACAGATACCACTGTAATCTCCTTACATAGGTAAGAAGAAGATACTCTCCACAAGCTGTTCAAGGAAAGGCTTGTCATGCAAGTGTTTTCAAAACAACCCATAACACGACAACTGCACTGTTACAGATGAGGAGATGATACATGGCATTACTGTTGGTGTGTTTTGTGTGTACAGTGGCAGCCAAGTAAACTTAAGCTACAAAGGTGGTTTTAACAGCAGTTTTCTTCCAAGTGCCTCCTTAAATTCACTTGGCAGGACAGGGAAAGGGGATGTAGTTAATGGCGAGTGAATTTCGCTGCAGCCATTTGATAGTGTTGAACTCATTAAATTTTATATTGTTTTAATATCTACTCTGTGTATTTACTACTTTGTTGTTTGTTGTTGTTATGTGCTGTCGAGTTAAGAACCTATAAACCAAACTGTAGTCAATGTCATGAGACAAAGTATATGTGAACTGCTGTATGTAAAATGAATTTGCTCTGTAAATTTTCACCCAAATCACAATTTAAAAAAAAAAAAAAAAAAGAAGAAGAAGCTATAAACCAAAAAACCAAACCCACTGCCACGGAGTTGATTCCAACTCACAGCAACCCCCACTGGGTTTCCAAGGCTGTAAATCTTTACAGAAGTAGATTGCCTCATCTTCCTCCGATGGAGCAGCTGGTAGGTTTGAACTGTTGACTTTCTGGTTAGCCAACAAATGCCTTACCCACTACACCACAAGAGTTCCTTAAGGACCTATAGGAATACTCATTAAAGCTCACTTCCATCAGGTTGGATCTGACTTATAGCGACCCCTCCTTGAGATTCCAAGGCGGTATCACTATGGAAATAGATTTCCCAACCTTCCTTCTGAGGAGTGGTTTGTGGGTTTGAACTGTCAGCCTTCTGGTTAGCAGTCAAGTGCCTTAGGCACTATGCCACCAGAGCTCCCTATAAGAATATATATAAAATTTTCAAACATAACAAAATATATCAAATATATATCACTGTAGGTATTTAATATATAATTTCTACCTCTTTCTCAGGAATAACTAAGAGAAAACTCTAGAACAATGCCATGAAAAATATAAACCTTAAACTATACATGTGGCAGATTCCAACCACTAGTTACCCAGCTGATATCTAGTCTTCCCTCTTTCTCTAATTTTATTTGAAGAAACAAAATGCCCAGCAAGCGTTCTTTTAGGAGCTCTGGTGGCATAGTGCCTAAGGCATTTGACTGCTAACCAGATGGCTGACAGTTCAAATCCACCAGCCACTCCTCGGAAGGAAGATCAGGCAATCTACTTCCGTAGTGATACCACCTCAGAAACATAGTAGGCACACAATAAAGTAGGCACAAATAAAGCATAGTGGCTAAGGCACTTGACTGCTAACAGAAGGCTGGTGATTCAAACTCACCAGCCACTCCTCGGAAAGAAGATGGGGCAATTGACTTCCTTAGTGATACTGCCTTGGAAACCCAAGGAGGCATCACTATGAGTCAGGTCTGACTTGACGGCACATAACAACAACAACAACGACAATAAAAATCTATAGAGTTTCTAGCCTGTCTATAGTTAAGGGTAGCCATTTTTAGCCAATGGAATAGAGGTGAACGCATGCTAGGCATTTCTGTAAAGCATGGTTTTCCTTCTTCTTCCTTTCTGCAATGTAGGTAAGGAGATTAGAGGCAGAGCAGCCACCTCCGAAAGTCATGATTTAAAGATGGAGAGAAGAAAGATAGCTGGGACTTAGAATACCGGTGGCACGGGAGGCAGCGTCTTCTTCAGCTTGAGGTAGTTGCAGAAGGCTTGTCTGAGGGCTGGGCATATGAATTGAGATCTAAAGGATGAAAATTAAGCAGTCATGCCAAGATCTGGGGAATGAGCCTGGGTGTGCCTGATGGACAGAAAGATACTAGTGTGCTAGACAGATCCTAGTGTGCAACACTGGGGGCAAGGTAAGCCACAGAGGGAGGCAAATCATCATGCTCTTACGGTTCAAGGTAAGGGTACTGCATTTTTTGCTGGTTGCAGTAAGAATCCATTGAAGGATTTTAACCACTACTGACATGGGATGATTTTAACTTCAAAAGCTCTCTCTGGGTGATCTAAGAAAGAATGGACTACACATGAAGGGAGGAGTGAAAGCAGAGACCAGTTAGGAGGTGGAAGCAGTCAGGAGTCAGGTGAGAGACCTGGAGCTTAGATCAGAGTTGGGAAGATTCAGAGTGTGGAGACAACAGGACTAACTGATGGAGTTGATACGGAGTGTGAGAGAAAGAGAATGATGAACCCAAGGTTACAGGCTGAAAAGCTAGGTAGATGAAGCTACATTGACGGAAGCAGGGTAAACATCAGGTAGAGAACACCTGAGAGTAAAAATCTGTGGTCTGTGTGTACCATGCTAACCTTGAGATGCCTTTTCCACTAACAAGTTGAGACACTGGGTGGACAGGAGACCCACAGAGCTCAGGGGAGTGCTATCGCTGAGGAAAACTGATCATGTGACTCTACTACAGTGGCCAGAGAAAGGTGGATTCGAGGGTAGCCATCTTGGCATTAAAATCTGGCCAAACAGACTTCTGTAACAGCTCGTAAATTCAAACTGATATACAACAGATGGACACAGTTGATTGTAGCAGCACTATCTTAGAGAAAAAAGACACAAGAACAGCTATGAGGCAGAAGGTATCATAGAAATGAGGAAAGGGGATTATTTGCTGGAAAAACAAATGGGCAGTGCATTGAAGGGGGAAACAATATATAACCTTGTTGCTATAGCTGTTCACCTCCCTGAACAACTTTCCTGTTCCTAAAGTTTCTTCTATTTTCTGCAAGGCCCTACTCTATATGGTTCAGACCATTTCTATTAGTGCTTATTTCCTATGGCACAGTGATTAAGCGTTTGGCTGCTAACCAAAAGGCTGGTGGTTCAAATCCACTAGCTGCTCCATAGGAGAAAAATGTGGCAGCCTGCTTTGGTAAAGATTACAGCCTTGTAAACTCCATGGGACAATTCTACTCTGTCCTACAGAGTCACTGTGAGTCGACTCACAGTAGTGGCATATCCATATAATAAGCCCACCACTGTCTGACATAACATCAACCCAACGCACAGAGGGCCATTCTCTCTTCTACTCTTTGGAAATCCCACCCATGTTACCTCAGAAATGCCACCCTTCCATACCAGAGTCTTATGCTGGGATCACTGAGTGATGCAGCAGTTAACCCCCAAGAGAGCTAATTAAAACAACGTAGTGTTCAGAGTTTCATTAGAAGATCACTTCAATATTTCCCAAAATGCTATTAAGAGCCTGAAGTACTTTAGAAAACAACTTCTATTATATACCATTACCGTACCTGCTATCTCTCTCCGGGATTTCCTTAATAGCAATTCTGACCTGGTTGCTCAAGTCGCGACCTGCATAGACTATGCCGTAAGTCCCTTTTCCTAAAACGACTCTGTCACCATTTTCATCGTATTCATAGTCATACTACAAAAGGAAAAATGGGGAGGGAAGATTGAAGTGTTAGTTGCATTCCACAATTTAAACATCAACTTTTTCAAAGCACAAATTTCCCTTTGTTATGGTTTTAACAAGTGAAACATTATCGTGAAGTTCTAAGAAGCAGCGTTAGGAACTAAAAAACAGACCTTTCAACATAAATGAAATAGTGTGCCCATGTTTCCACAACCACTATGAATGTCATTGTTGTTGTTATGTGCCGTCGAGTCAAACCCGACTCATAGCGACCCCTCCTTGGGTTTCCGAGGCAGTATCACTACGGAAGTAGGATTGCCCATAGGAACCACAAACTTAAATCCATAAGACCAAGGCAGCAAAAGCCCCCCTGAGTCTTTCACCCAGTAAATCTGGTTTTTCATTGACTCTGGATATCAGCATGATTACTATCAAATCAATGTCTGCCAACATCTACCACGTCTAGTTAATCTTTCTTTTGTTTTTAGCTTTTGGTACTACCTAAATATTTCCCACACCATCAGAAGAACAGGCTTGGCGTAAGACGAGAATTTGGGATCTTCCAGTTGATGAGACTTCGTCTCACCTACTTTGGTCATATGGCCAGAAGGGACCATTCCATGGAGAAGGACATCATGCTTGGTAAACTGGAGGGTCAGAGAAAAAGGGGAAGACCCTCAACGCAATGGACTGAGAAAGTGGTTGCAACGCTGGGCTCAGGTATCGCCAGGACTGTGAGGATGGCGCAGGACCGGGGGGTGTTTCATTCTGTTGTTTACAGAGAATTACTATGAGTTGGAATTGACTTGATGGCACATAACAACAACAACCAGTTGATGATGGCAATATAAAGATTATTTTCACTTCACTCCCAATTCCCTGAGGCCCAAAAACACTTGAAAAATGAAAAATGTATCTCTGATGTAAAAAAGAAGTATTTACAGTCCAAACGCGAAACTGCTAAGTGTATCAACCACATATGGAAAAGTGCATCAAAGTGAAGAGGGTGTTTGGTATACACCTCCCTCAGACCTGTAGACATCATCTAGAAAGGCACATTTTTGGTGTCAGATAGGAACTACAGGTTTTATGGTCATCAAATGATCAAGCTATTCTCTGCAGAAATCCAGTGTAATACTACAGACTAGCAGGAAAGAATGGTCTTTTGATGGGAGCTCTGGTAGCACAGTGCCTAAGGCACTTGACTGCTAACCAGAAGGCTGGCGATTCCAACCCACCAGCCACGCTGAGGGACAAAGACTTGGCGATCTCCTCCTGTAAAGATTTATTGTTGTTGTTGTTATGTGCCGTCAAGTCAGACCTGACTTATAGTGACCCCTCCTTGGGTTTCTGAGGCAGTATCACTACGGAAATAGATTGCCCCATCTTCCTTCCAAGGAGTTGCTGGTGGGTTTGAACTATGTTACCAGAGTTCCCCCTGTAAAGATTATAGCCCTGGAAATCCTAGGGGCAGTTCTACTCTGTCCGATAGGGTTGCTACGAGTCAGAATTGACTCCACAGCAACAGGTTCGGCAATAGGAATAGCACAATTAACATGTTTGATACAACGTACAGAGAGAGAACTCTGTACTCAGATATAAATTCTACTCATGAATGTATGAAAAATATATAATAATTGACTACATATTGGGTCACAAAGAAAATGTCAATAAATTCCAAAGAACTGGCATCCTAAAGACCATGATCTTTGATCACAGGATAGTCAAGATAAGATAGCCAAAAATATATTTGAAAAACTTATTATCTCACTCTAAAATGGACTGAAAAGAAGATGACCACAAGAATTACAAGCTGTTGTGAAAGAACTACAACTGAGAGCATTATATACCAAACATCACAGAGGATTGGAGATAAAGAAATGTCCTGGCCTTAAAGAATTGCAACAGCAAAAAAACAAACAAGAAAACAAGCAATTAAGTGGTTAAGTCAAGGGAATACAAAAAGAATAACATCATCCAAAGACAGCAGAAGGGGTTTCTGATTTTGACAAGATGGTGGACTGGATGCCTGAAAGCATTCCCTGCTAAAAATACCTAGACAAAATAAATGTTTTTAAATGCCTAGCTGGGCTTGTAAAAAAGAAAGAAAACTGCCAGTTGCCAGAACTGAAGAGGAAGAGGAAAACTAAAGGCACCATCACCAGAACTAGGCTCCATTAGCGCAGTGGGGGAGGATGAGGGCGGAGCTTTAAGTTCCATTAACCTATGGCTGGAGGCAACAGACATTTTCTTTAAAGGGCGAGGTAACTAACACAACCCATTTCAGATGTTTGAAAACACTTTTCTAAATAAATGATGGGCCAAAACAAATAAATCATTTGGGATAAAAGAACATATTTAAAATTAAATTATAATGAATACATTGGATATTCTAAAATGCAGGCTATATTAAGGGGAGAAAACCTTATATCCAGGTGAATTATCTCAGGCAACAGATATTCTGAAGTATCTGAATTATCTACAGACAATAGATATATATTCTCAAGCTTATAAAATTCCAGAAAATAAAACACCCACAAACTCTTGCGCAACCTATTTGATAATAAAATACAAACAGCCAAGAGAAGAATCAATACAAAATTGAGGGTGAAGAAACTGATGAAAGCACCAGTTAGCTCAAAATTCATCTAAATACAGAAGTAAAACTAAACAACTGTGAGAATTAAAGTGACAACTAAAACTAAATGCTACAAACCTTGATAATTTTTTAGGAGAGAAAGATGTTAGGTGACTGGGGAGGGAGAAGGGAAGATGTTTTACAAGCATGCAGATTTCACCTCCCAACTATAAGGATACTCCCTGCAATCGACTCAGGTCAGGCCCATCTTGCTTTTACTTGCTTTTAAAAAAAGAAAGTTGCAGTCGCATCAGCTCAGGTTCAGGTTCAGGGTGACCCTGTGTGTGTCAGACGAGAACTGTGCTCCACAGAGTTTTCAGCGGCTAGTTTTTTGGAAGTGGATCTCCAGGCCTTTCTTCCGAAGTGCCTCTGTTGTTGTTGTTGTTGTTGTT